CTGGGCAGTGCCGGCTACCGCGGCAGCAGCGCTCCGGTCGCAGCAGCGGCTGCCGGCGCGGACAACATGGCGGCGGTGTCGGGGGCCGCGGCCGCGGGCGGCGCCGCCAACGCGGGCGGCCCCGAGATGGTGCGCGGGCAGGCCTTCGACGTGGGGCCGCGCTACACCAACCTCTCCTACATCGGCGAGGGCGCCTACGGCATGGTCTGGTGCGTGTCCCCGGCCCGGCTCGGCCGCGTCTCCCATCAGGACGGGGCGCGCCCAAACCTGCTCCGTGCTCCCCTTCCCGGGCGCAGGTGCGAGGTCCCCGCGGCTCTGCCGGGCTGGGGCTCGGCCCTGGCAGCCACGGGAGTAACCTGGGGCCTGCGGAGCCCGGGCCGCGCCAGGCGGCTTCGCCTCCGCGGGGGGCTCCACGGTCCGCTCCTCGGGCCTCTGCCCGTTGCAGGGCCGAGTCCGCTGGACAGAGCAGGCCTCGGCCGGGGTTGCTCCCTCCCTCGAGGCTGCCCCGGTTCGGGGCTCTGGTTAGCCTGGGTTGGTGCCTTTCTGCTGCTCTAGTGCGGGTGTCCCCTGTACACGTCGGCCCGAAGCACCCGAGAACGCACGTTCATGCATTCGTGTTTGAAAACAAGGCCGGGACGATACTTCTCTGCATCGTCCCGCCTATTTTAGAAGGGGGGGGTTGTCATAGGAGCTGCTTAACTTAACCGCGAATAGGATATATTTGGCTACTGAAAGGCTGCAAGAAGTGTCAGGAAGGATGCAGCCCTCTGGCAGTTGCATCCTTTTTTTTGATAAGGCAAATGAGCAACCTTTGGTTAATGGGCAGAAGTAGGGAAAATGCCCCTGCCTTTCCTGTCTCTGCTGTGTGAAGGGGTTGCACATTTTTCCAGATGTTCAGTTCTTCCATCAAGCCTAGGAATCTGAGGTTATACCGTAATTAAAAAAACAAATAAAAATGTGCGGCTCATTTATGTTTTCTGTAAATGGGTGTTAGATTGTCTCTGTTAAGTTAAAGATACTAATTCTAGCGGCTCTAAGGGGGGGTGTGGGGTAGTATGGGGTGGTATGTGTGCAGGGTGTATCTTCCTTCTGGGCTTCATAATTTAAAGCAATTGCTGTAGGGAGCATTGTGGTTTTTATTTAATTGCTATTCTTTGGTACAGTCTCAAGTGTGAGAGGACATGGAACAAAGTCTGTCAGTTTGTGTTGTGTACTTGAGTAGGAAAGCGCTGGATTGCACATGTCCTAGTGGGGTGCCATAGCAACTGCAGTATTTTGGTAGCACATAAGACACAAGCTACTATGATTTAAATAAGATTTACTTTCCAGTTACAGGAGTTACTGGTTGTGCAGATTGATGCTAGATGTGTCATGGTTTGCTTTGCTGGCAAAGCTGCATGTGCCTTCTCAATTTAAGGGGGAGTTTTCTATTGTATTGCAAGTAGATTTATCTATTTTTTTTAATGAAGAGTTGTGGCTTTTCCAGTCAAGAAAGTCCAACTTAATATACTGGATCTGGCAATTGCAGTTATCTGTGTATTGCACTGTGTGGTTTCTTAGTGTGGAAATGTCAAGTGATTTTGACTCTTACAGCTCTCCAGGGTATAAAGGAAAATACAGACCAAATAAGCCATTTGCTTGACTGTTCTCCCATTCAAGTTGTCTCTAATATGGAAACCTTTAGGTAGTCAAATGCCTGCCTTTATCTCAGTTGTTCATAGTCCACGTTTTGAGTAGAAGCAGAAATTGAGTAAAAATAAAGTTACTAGAGCACTACATGGCATAGTGTTCTCAGGGTATGCTTTTTTCAATATTAGAGCAAATAAAGACTTAAAATTGTCTTGTTTTGCGGGTTAGCATTAGAAAAGATTAAGGCAGGGGGTCCTTTACACTCAACCTTTGTAGCCTTCTCAGGCTAGATTTCTTTTGCCACCTGCATTCTGTGCCTTGACTCTAGAGACCAGACTCTGTCTTGTGTTGCATTCCCACTTAAATGATGTGTTGTGAGAGATTAGGATATGTCCTTGTTTCTAGGACAGCACTCTAGGCTCTGCCCCTCCTGGAAATGGTCTGTTGACAGGGGTTAGCCACTTCATAATTACTCTTTCTTTTCTTGCAGTTTGTTTTCAATACTTTTACATAATAAAGACAGTTATGAAAGAAAAAACATGGTGCAAACAACCGAAATGGAAGAGTTAACTAAAACCCTAATTAATTCCCAGGATTGAATCGCAAGCAATTTCAAATTATGTCCCAACAAATAAGAATATACATAACTAACTACTGCTTTCAGTCTAACATACATATTGTTTTATCTGTGTTTTTTTTTCTCTTCTTTCTAGATATGCTCTTCATCTTAACTTTTTTTGGCTGGGTTAGTCATTTAACTGAATGTTTGAAATAATATTCATTTTTTGGAAAGGGATAGTTAATATCAGTGTTGTGGGTTTTTTACTTTGCTTTTTAACCCATTGTTCCCCATCAGAATTTCTGTGCAGGTGGAGTATTGGAGCAACAACAGATATAATACATATTTAAAAAAAATCCGTAAGTGAATGCAACTGTGAACTAAATGATCAGATCTTGTACCTATGTCAGGTTCCCTGCTGTGTCTTTTGAGTCATTGATAACATTGTTTAGCTACAGTATAAAGGTTAAAATAGGCTAGTTAAATCTTTACAGCATAGCTGTTCTTGATGTGACATGACTCTTAATGGCAGTTTTGATTTTAGGGTACTCTGCTTCCTACTCGTTCCATCGGAATTAACCTTATGGGAGAAGTTGTGAAGAACTGTCCGGTTTAATTTTAATATATACCTATTGTTCCTCTTGAAAAGCTTATTCATAAACTGATTTAAAACTGGAAAGTTAATGAAGAAGCCACTTCCTAAAATAAGTATTTCCTCAAAAAGGTGAAAAGTAGGAAAATTGATTACACTGATGTTTTTGTGGAAATGTAGAGCTCTCTTTTACAAAAGGTGGTGTCTGTAATGTTTGTCTTGCCTGTAGACCAGAATGTTTCAAATAAGTAAGGGTACTTTAGTCAGTGGGTTTGAAGGTAGATTTCCAGACCTGTTTATGCTTGCATGGTACAAAGGTAGCTGAAACCACTTGCAGTTTTTCTGGCTGAACCTTCGCTTATATGAGGGAATACCTGGTAGAATTAGGATGGTAGTAATGACTCCTGTACCTCTTTTGTAGTTTTGAGGTCCCACAGTGGGGATGGCTGAGGGTTCTTGAAAAGCGAAGTCTTTGTTAAGAAAAGTGAAATACGTGAGTAGAGGTGCTTAAACATCTGAAAAGATTGTATTAGTAAATGTTCATAATGCTATTAATGTAGCCGCATGCTCTTCTGAGCTGCTCAGCTAAAGAATATGGAGAAACAAGACTTCTATTTAGAGCAGAAAATATAATATAGTTCTGTGCAAACTTGAATGAATGGTAGTACACATGAGAAGTAGTAAAAAGTAGTTTATATTGGACAGCTTAAATATGGAATCAGTATGGAACCTCCCAGCGAGTAATATTCCATGGGGTTTTTTTAATCAAAGATAGTTGTGTTGCTATTTGTTTAGAACAGTGGCTACAGACATTATCAGGTTTGTGATAGTGGTTGTTTCCAGATGTTGCATAAAACATGAAACTCCTGCATAGGAATGCTTTTGGTGTTTTACATAGACCAAAAAGAAAACATAGTAAAAATATTAGTAAAAAATGAAAGATACAAAACAAGCAGCAGTATGGAATTTGCAGGTTGCATGTCTCCCATCTTTCTATCTTCTATGTCCTTTTTGAGAATGAGAAATTGGGAATTCAGTTTTTGCTCTGCTACGATGCCCCTCATTTGTCTTCATCCTCTACCTTTTGGTAATCTCCTCTTCTTTGTAGTGCTTGCCTCCTGGCAAGGTGAGGCTTTGGCCAAGAGAGAGCTCCTTGAAAGGTATGGCTCATTACCCTTTGGTTCCAATTCCTGCATTTTCCAAAGCCCAGGCCACTTTTCTAGAACCATGGGAACCCAAACTGATGATTTTAATGCTTCTTTAAGTTGTTTTGATATGCTTTGTTTTTTAATCCATTTCAGCGTAAGGCTTCTTGTAAATTTTATGGTTGCTATTGGCAGGCAATTCTCTTTCCGTATATTCTTGAGCTATGTACATCTTGTAGTTTGTGACCATTTTCTTACACTTGAGCTTCATATAGCAACTTTAAGGTATGCATTTAATTTTTGTCTTTGGTAGTGGTGATATGACTAGAAAAGTGATTGTGCAAAGACTGTGCTTATCATCAGGAATCCAGGTTTTCAGTTTGCTGCAGAAAAACTTGGAGTTTCTCCTTTTTAAAATCAGTGTGTAATGGCTGTTATCATCTTGTCTGTTGTAGTTGTGCAAGTACAGTGCAAAAATACAGCCTGTTCATTCCCAAGTGCCTGGCACCTGTTGCTCTGTTGAAGCCAATGGGCTCAGACTGCCTGATTAGCTTTAAAAATTAGGCCCAAAATTTATTTGTGAAATAATAAATGCTTGCATGTTATTGTGAAATAACATGCTTGCTTCCTGAACAAGTGAGCTACTAGAAATGGGTACCTACTAAGTCTTAAACTTTTTTGCTGAATTAATGGGAATTGGACAATTGTTCCATGCTGCTATCTGAAAGAGAATTTTCTTCCCTCTCACATCCCACAGCTTTATCAGAAAATTTGGGATTTTTAAACAGAGAAAAATCGGGATTCCTGCTAATCATGCATACTATAGATGGCTCTTAAAACGTAGGAATTGTGTGTCTCTTGTGTATTCTGTATAACATTTCTGAATGCCATTGTTTGATTGGTGTTTGCATCTCAGATGCAACATTTCTTTTTAAAGAAATTGTTAAGGAGTTTATAATTCTCAACCCCTCCCGCCCCTTTCAGTTCCCACACAATATGTGTTTTGTTTAGTATGGGGAAACTTTCCCAGTGGGCCTATTAGCATTTTGATGGGGGGGAAAAATAAATATGCCTCTAATGATTTGTTTTTAATACAGTTTAGATTCAGGCTTGGTTGTATCTTTGCTGAAATTCATTGCAAGGGTCAAGGGCTTTCTGTAGAGAATGCTTTGTGTTTAGATCCTCTCTTTCACCTGAATTGCAGGAAAGGCAGTCATAATAAATGAGTCCCATATTGTTGTGGCTTCCATCTAGTCGTGCACTACACTAACTGAAGCTTCTGTG